GAATGTGGATAGAGAGGGAGAATTTATCACCACCCTTATGGAAACAACTCAAGTTATATTACCTCCAAAAAGACGGTCAACATTATGATTTATATATTCCTCCTCAACAGTCATCATTTGTTTGCAAAGATAATGGTTACCTGAGAACACCCATTCTACTTTCATTCTGATATTGGTGAATATGTAGTTGACTAGAAATGCTACTTTCAATATGTTTGCTAAGAGTTCTGTTATAGTTGTGAAAGATACTTTTATTCACCATTAAATTCTTCTTTTTTAAAAAATATTTTCCTTCACTCTGAAATGTTTTATACTTGTTATTTCCAAATTTATGGCTATGTAGATTGCCTCCAGTTTAGTGGTCTGAGATAAGATGTATTACAAAAACTTCCCTTTCTGCATCATCAAAGAGAGAAAATGGAGAAAAATAGGAACTTCTCTTTTTCATCCGAATTTTGTGTCTATGATTAATGAGCTGCTTACTTTGTGGAGAAAGATTTCCCACTCCACAAGGGTTTCAAAGCATTGTTTGTGAATCCAAAAAGCAGAATCTCACTCTCAATTCAAAGTTTCAGCTGTTTGAACCCAATGTGACTTATAATGTGTTAATTGAGGAACAATAACTAGAAAAAGAGAAATTAAGCTAACCATTTCTTTCTTCTTTTCACTTGTCAGACTATATCCGTTTAGTCTTGACATCAAATTTCAAATGGGGTGTTGATATATTTAAATGCCTGTGATCAAAATCCATGGGAAACAAAGCATTGTAAAAGATAGTTGAAGAATCTGTGGATGTATTTGTTTGCGAGGGCTGCCATAACTAAGATCCATCACAAACCGGCTTGTTTAAACAACAGAAATGTTTTGCCTCACAGTTGTGGAGGCTGGCTATCTGAAATTAAGATATTGACAAGACTGGTTCCTTCTGAAGAATGTGAGGGAAAGGTCTTTTCCAGATCTGTATCCTAGGCTTGCAGATGGTGTCCTCCCTGCATTTTCACACCACCTTCGTCTATGCATGTTTCTGTGTCCAAATTCTCCCTTTTAGAAGGAAATTTATCATGCTGGATTAAGTTCCACCTTATAACTTACTTGAGCTTGATCACCTCTGTAAACACCCTATCACCAAGTAAGGTCACATTCTGAGGTACTCAGGGGTGAAGTCTTCAACACACAAATTTTCAGGGGAAGCAATTCAGTCTATAACATCGTCTTCTTGTATTCAGCCTGCTATAACAAAATACCGCAGACTGGGTGTTTTATTTCTCATACTTCTGGAGTCTGAGAAGAACAAGATCAAAGTGCCACTAGATATGGTGTCTGGTCAGGGTCCTCTTCCTAGATGGTTGTCTTTTCACTGTGTCCTCACATGGCAGAAGGAACAAGAGACTTCTCTGGGACTTGTGTTATAAAGGCACTAATTCCGTTCATGTAAAAATGTGTTAGAGGGTATATGGTAACCATTTTCAAATTTCTGAAAGACTGTGCTGAAAAAGAGGGATGAGATTTTTCTGGGCTGCTCTAAAAGCCAAAACTAAAATGAATATATAAAACTAGAAAAGTAAAAATTGTCATTAAATATAAAAAATATGTTCTTTGAGAACTTGTATATCCCATAAGAGATGCTTTGGATTTTGCAGTCATTGAGACAATAATATAAAATTACGTCACCAATGACTGGCAGTGGATAAGGACTTGTGTTTTTACCTTCTCTCTGTCTTGGCTAATCCCTTTCAGTAAAATGGGGGTAATAACACCTATGTCATATGGTTGCTATAAGAGCTATATGAGATTACGTATATTTGACATCTAGCACTGTGCTCAGCCCAGATTACAATCTTAGAGAAGATTATTACTAATATTATTAGTAGTATTTGGAGTTTTCTAATTATTCTAATGTAAGGAGATTGTTTTGAAGAATTAAAACACTGGTCAGAGGGCCACTTTTTCACAGGTATTACAGCAATTTTTATACCATTTTGATGTCAAATAAAGGATTTTTAAAGTGATTTAGACATTAATATTTTATGTTTCTAGAAATAGATGAGAAGCTGAAAGTAGATTGAGTAGCCTAGGTTTTATATATTTCCTCAACCCTCACTCTCCCAGACAAAAACTGGAGTTTCTATTGCTTACTTTGCTTAAATCATTCCTCAACTACTTAATTTCATAACTTGTAGCAATACTTTCCACTGTCATTGTTTGATTAATGTTCAAAAATGCCTGTACAAACACCAACATCAATTTTAATGTAATTTTCAATGTCAGATATTATCACAAAATGCAGCACTGAATATTCTACTGATGCAACTCCTTGAAATGGAATGAATGCCCCTAAATACAAGTCTGTTGTGGGTTTATTGAAATAAGTACAAATTAATCTCTTCTTCATAAAAGGAAATATAGAGAATCCATCATCCATCCCTTTGCTAATTCCTAAGTCATCAAGGTATGCCCTGTTGTGTGTCCTGAGACTGCTAGGCATTGGGAATACAAATGCCTAGAAATCTCAGGACACACAACAGGGTATACATCAGGGCAGACTCCATCTTGCAGGAGCTTTCAGTTTAGTGGGGAAAACGTCCAGGTAGACATTTATTTATCAAAGTGTTACTGCAGGTGATATGGTTTGGCTGTGTCCCCACCCAAATCTCATCTCAAATTGCAATCCCCACGTGTTGGAGGAAGCGTCTGGTGGGAGGTGATTGGATCATGAAGGCAGACTCTTCCCCCTTGTTTTTCTCGTGATAGACAGCGAGTGAGTTCTCATGAGATATGGTTGTTTGAAAGTGTGGGTCACTTCCCCCTTTGTGCTCCCACGCTCTCTCTCTCTCCTCTGCCGTGGTAAGATGGACTTACTTCCACTTTGCCTTCTGCGATGATTTTAAGTTTCCTGAGGCCTCTTAGCCATGCTTCCTGTTAAGCCTGTGGAACTGTGAGTCGATTAAGCCTCTTTTCTTCATAAATTACCCCGTCTCAGGTAGTCCTGTATAGCAGTATAAAAACGTACTAGTACAGCAGGTTACTACACTTAGCCACAACTTTGATGGTCAGGAAGGGCTTGGCAGAAGAAGTGTTTCTAAGCTTAGCCTATAATGGTTAGTAGGAGTTCACAGGTAAAAAGAGGGAGGAAAGAGTGTTCTGGAAAATATAAAAGTGTATGTGAATGTTCAAAGAAGAATATGCATCAAAGGAGGAATTAACCTGGGGTGAGAAGGAACACAATGTGGTAGAAAACTCCACGAGCTCAGAGTCAGAAGACCTTCTGCAGCCATTAACTACTGATGCCCCTAACTCCCATCCATGAATGCAGGATGCACTATGTAACGTTAAAAACGCTAGCCAGCTTTAGTGTTTATATATTATTTAAGATCTTTTATGCAAATTGTTCTAAAAGATCATACTCTTGTAATGAGATATGAAAATTAGATTGTGGATGACTAGATGTTGAGCTGCTAAAAGCCAAATCTCTTTTTTTCTCATCTTCACAATAACTCAAAGTGCCTAGCATGGTGAAATTATGTAAAATTGAACCAAGAGATGCTTCTCTATGAAGAAGGAATTTAACATGGAGTCACTCCACAAGTACTGGTTTTTCCAGTGGAGAAATGAATAGGAATGGGCTTGTTCTGTTAAGAGGAAAGATCAGTCTCCCGTGGTGCAAGATGAAGCTCTCTGTGGTGCTCTGCGGAGTCTTAAAAACAGTAGCCAGATCATGGAGGCCTGGGATACCTGCAGCAGTGGCTCTTAAACTAGTCTGCCACAAAATAAACTTGGCGATTTGTGTAGAATATGAGTTCCCTTGTTTTAGCTTCCTACAATCTAATTGTGTTGTCTGAGGCAGAAGCCCATGAGTCAGAGGTACACTCAAGTTTCTTTCCCAGAACCAAGTCCCCGCCCCTTATATTGGCTCTTTCCTGTGTTTTCAACTTTTTGTCTCACTTTAAACCCTATTTCAATCCTTGCTTCAACCATGTGGAAGTGGCTCAAACATACCAGTTTATTCATGCTTCTGTGCCTTTGTCATCAGCCCTCCCTCTATCTTAAAATGCTTTGCTCTTAAACTGCAGTGTTGTGTTTCCCAGGTAACTGCCCACACATATTTCAAGACTCATCTGTATTAAATTTCTCCCCTGCCATTCTTGTTTAGACTTGACCACTCACCTCTTAGTGTCTTCACTTTAACCCTGACCTGTGATGTAATCTACAAAACATTTCTACACTTACTTTTTTTTACATTTCTTTCATCTCTATTATAGTATTTGATACAATAACCACTTAATAAATGTTTGCTAAATGGATAAATGAATGAATGTATAAATGAATGAATGAATGAGATACACTATAAAACAGTGTATCTGCAGTTAGACTGCCTGGTTTCAAATCCTTTCTCTATCACTTATCAGGTGTGTGAATTTGGGAAAGTTACTTTAAGCCTCTGTCTCAGTTTCTCAATTATAAATGGGAATGATAATTATAGTATCTGCCTCCTGTAGCTGTTAAGAGGTTTTAAATAAACTAATATTTGTAAAGCACTTAAAATAATGTCTGGATCATAGTGTTACCAGTGTTTATAAAATAAATGAATGTACTATAGCAAAAATGATGAATGTTTAAATTTATATCTAGAAACAGATTGAAAGCAGAGACAAACCCATAAGATGTAAGAAGAAAAAAGTGATGAGTTCGATGATTGAGGAAGAAAAAGCACTGGGACTAAGTCTCGGGATTCTAACAGTCACTGGAAGCGGTAGGCAAGTATCTGCCATTAATTCCTTACTTTTAAATATTTCATCACCTAAGAAAGGAGAGCCTGGCCTCCTAGAATAATACACAGTCAGTTACATTAGAAAAAAAAGAGAGTCAGATGTTTTCAAAACAGTAACAACAATATGCCCTGGATAGCAGAGAAACAGAAGAGCAATTGATCTACAAAGGCAAGACCCAGATTGAGACCACAGTGAACCCTACAAAGCAGAGGAGCCCCTGGATGGGAGAGGATATAACTAGAACTCTGGTGATGTAACATGCCTGGTGTGCTTGTCTGAGAGACACGGCAGCTTAGGGAAATAAGTCTCTGCAGCATTGTAGGAAAGAGAGAATACAGGACAACTGTAGGACCACAGCTCAACCAAGAGTCAGTGTAAATTTACACATATTTCTTGATCTAAAGTCTCTTTTCTGTTAAATACAAATAATAATGCATGCTTCATGCAGCAAGTTATTGTGAACACTAAATGAGACAGTATTTGAAATTACTATGTAACAGAAAATAAGGTACACAGAATCCTCAGTACAAGGACAATAGTGTGGGACTGCAAAGATGATTGTGCAAAGCAATCTTAATAATGAATGAGAAAACTTATGATTGTGCCTTGGACTTTAAAAAGTTTTGCCAAAACATCAAAATCTTTCTTGCTGTCATTGACAAAGGTACAAGCAAATAAAAATCGTAAAACTAATACCTAGTACGACATAACTTAAAGCATGAGAAATATTTAAAACTAAAGTGCTTTGCTTTTCATAAAAACTTATCAATTGTAGTTTAAACCATGCTTGCCTCCTTGTCATGTAACCAACAATGCGAAGGGCCATCTTTCTTTACGCACTGGCAAATTGTCATATGCTTTTCTAAGTTTGGATCGGCTTCTCGCGTTGTATTCTTTGTTCTCTCAGTGTATTGAAATATCTCTGAGTTTTTTCTAATGTGAAAATTTTCTGCCAGCATTACTTCCTCTAGGACATCTTCATTCTGTTCATCACAACTACCTTTCTCATTTACATTTTCTTTCAGTACGTTTCCGTGGCCTCATGCCTAGAGACTCAAATGACAGCAGTATCAATATTCCATGGTCAGCTCTCTTCTTAGGAGATCTAATTTCACATCCAGTATTATTGCTTTTCATTTCTTTGCTGCACTTTCATCTGTTGCACAATTCCTTCTTTTAATCATCTGTTTTGTAAAATGTCATGTGAGTTTATCATGGGAAGACATGGAGGCAATACAATTACATGCTTTGCTGGGTGGTAACTGAGTAACAGATGTGCAGTAGCCATACTGAGGTTATCTGTCACTGATCATGATGTGCACCTGCTATTTGCATAGTGATTTCTGAACTGAAGTGCTATCAGTGAGGTTAGAACTTCACGCAATTGCTGTTAATATACCATAATTAATGAAACATCACATTATTAAGAGACTGGTATTATTTAACTAAACCATGGTAACTAAAATTTATACATATGAATTAGCAAGTCGAGAGCTGCCAGTAACTTTAATTACTTCCTTTAACAGTTCTTAATTTTTCTTTAATCAGTGAGACTTATGTTTATATGCTCACCATTGTGATGAGGATCCCCAGATTTTATGTGAGTAAGAGATTCAGAATTAGGCTCAGTTCTTAACCCACTTTCTGCGTGATCCTCCTTCCCACACCGTTCCAAACATATCAGCGTGGCACACACCCAGGCTGAGAACCGCTGCTCTAAAGCCTGCCCCATAGTTGAAACTTTAGTCACTCTGGCTTTAAATTTTTCTACTTAAAAAAAAAATTATTAAGAAAGCTATTAATTTAGAGCTTTTCTGTCTTTGTTTTTAATGATTTCTTATTTTGCTTTTGCTTATTTCATTTCCATTTGCTCATTTCATTGTTAAGAAATGGCTCTGAGAGAAATTTAAATTATCTTTGACTTTTCAGGGTGTGCCCCTTGATTTCACTTCACCCCTTTCCCTCTTTCCATCTCAAGACACAAAAATTAGGGATAAATGTAAGGGGAGGTGGTGTGAGAAAGAACAGAAATCTAGCCCCATGTAAATTAAAATGTTAAAAAAGAAAAAATCTATCACATATTTTAAATGAATTTTTTTCCATTAAACATGGGAATTCAATAAATTTATGTCAAGGAACTAGATTTTGGGAGACAAAAGCTTTCATGAAAATGTTTATTTTAGATTTATTTCTTTTCTTTTCTTTCTGTCTTTTTTTTTTTGAGACAGAGTCTTGCTCTGCCGGCCAGGTTGGAGTGCAGTGACACAATCTCGGCTGACTGCAANCAGTGACACAATCTCGGCTGACTGCAACCTCCATCTCCCAGGCTCAAACAATTCTCCTGCCTCAGCCTCCCAAGTAGCTGGGATTACAGGCATGTGCTACCATGCCTGGCTAATTTTTTTTTTTTTTTGTATTTCTAATAGAGATGGGGTTGCACCATATTGGCCAGGCTGGTCTCAAACTCCCGACCTCAGGTAATTCACCCACCTCAGCCTCCCAAAGTGCTGGGATTACAGGCATGAGCCACCAAACTGAGCAGGTTTATTTTTTAATATCAAGTATTGTGAATATTCTAAATACTAAATAATGGGGAAATGGCAGAAAAAATATATTAACTAGGTAGAATATTGCACAAATTTAATGAATGCAAATGTTAGTTTTTAATACATTGTAGCAAGAAGAAAAAATGCAAAAGATACAATGTGAAATGAAAAAGTAGGAAACAGAATACTTTCCCTGTGAGACAACAATGCATGGAGTTGATGTTTCTACCCCTTTCCTCACAGCAGCAATGCCACTGGGGTCTCCCTCCCAGCCCCAGCTCGAGGAACAAGATGATGCTCCGCTAATTCCTTAGAGTTAGAGCTCAGGAGAAACACTTCAAGGTGAAGTAGTAACTGGCATGGCAAGGTCCTGTTATCTTCAGGTTTCTGGCATTAATAGAATCAAAATAGTAAACAAAAACCATCCTGATTCTTAACATAAGTTTAATAGTATACTCCACTCTGAATTTCTAAGCCTACTCCAATCACATCCCCAGTGGTGTACCAGTGTGGTCCACTATCAAAAAGAATATAGTAATATTCCTAACAGAGGATCATAGTTATACCCAGAGGAATAGAAGGTCGATCTACCTGGAATTCCTTCTCCACTTGTTGTGAAGCAGGTTCACTGTGCACTTGTCACCTACTTGTCTGAGTCCAGTGAGAGAAAAACACTCATGCATACAACAAGCTGCATGAAGAGATCTTTTACTACTTACAGACAGGCAGCAAGGAACAACAGAAGCCTACGACACATTGTGAGCCAGTCTCCAAGGCTCAAGGAATCTGCCCAGGATAGAAGGAGTGTCATCCATACATACCCGGCTTGTATCAGCTGAGGGACCCCAGAAAGCCTCTCATCCTGGGTTTTATGCCCTGGGACAATGAGATTTGCTCTGCTAAAACATTGAAGGTTATCTTATCAGAAAGGCAGGGCACCAGAACAGAGCTCAGGCTATTCCGATCAGCCCTCCTTATCTCAGAATGTTGCATTCCCAACACATTCTACAGCTATGCTTGAGAATCAGAAATGAGAAAAGAGAGGACAATAGGGCTGGTCCAAGGCCACCCAGAGAACTGTCCTGCATTTTTCCTCCCTATCTCCCTTCCCTCCTCCTTTCTCCTCCCCCTCCTTCTCCCCTTCTTTTTCTTTTCCCCTTTGATACGTATGTGTCCTCCTTGAAGGATCCCAGTCATATCCTGACAGTGTCCCAGCTGGCTTGAGATCAAGGAGATTGTCTTTTCTGACAACTTTGCATGCTGCAATGGTGAAAATGAATGCATCAATAACTGATCTTATGACCTTTTGAAGGAATCTTCTCCCCAATGTGTTTCTAATTCTCTGGAATAGAATGTTTATAGGAAGACAAATAAACTCCCCTCTTGATGATATTAATCCTCTTTTATAACACATCTGGACATGTGTTACTTTTCTATTCTCCTCTTACCATAAGAAAAGAGAAGAATAAAAGGGATACCAGAATACATGGACTCGACTGTGTAATACAGAAAACTGCGGATTGGGAATTCACAGAAACTATTTCTCTGGATATTGTTTTTCTTTCTTTTCTGTCTCTCTTTTCTTTCTCTCTTTCTTTTCTTTCTTTTTCTTTCTTTTCTCTGTCTTTCCTGTCTTTCTCTTTTTTGTCCTTCCTTCCTTCCTTCCTTCCTCCTTTCCTCCCTCCCTCCCTCCCACCTACCCTCCTTTCTTTTTTCTTTATTCCTTCCTTCCTTCCTTCCTTCCTTTCTTTCTTCTTTCTTTTCTTTTCTTTTCTTTTTTCTTTTCTTTTCTTTCCATGTAGTCTCGCACTGTCCCCTGGGCTGGAGTGCAGTGCCACAATCTCAGCTCAATGCAATCACTTCAAGTGATTCCCTGGCCTCAGCTCTCCCAAGTAGCTGGGATTACAGGTGCATGCCACCACACCAGGCTAATTTTTGTTTATATTTTT